AGTGCTACCCCCCCCAAACCCTTACCCTTTCTCATCCCCACCCTTTTACTCCCAACATCCCCCCAACAGGTACGCGGTGTACCTGCTGGTGTTCTCGATGGAGGACCTGCTGCACCAAGACGAGAGCAAGCGGACAGAGGCGTGGGAGTTTATGGAGCACTGGTTGTCTTCTCTCCACCTCCACGCCAAGGGTGCACCCGTCCTCATCGTCGGCACCTTCGCTGATGTGGTCAGCAAGAGGAAGCAGCACGAACACATCTCGCGTGACATCCACAGCCGCCTGCGCCACAACCCAGCCTTCGCTTCTGTTGTGTACAACAGCAAGCACAAGCTGTGGTTCTGGCCCGTCGACAACACCAAGTCCATCGGCGACCCCATGATCCAGGGCCTGCGCCAGACCATCTCCTCCACAGCACTGGCGCAGGAGTACGTGAGCCAGGAGGTCGCTGTACCCTACCTCCACCTCTACGACAAGCTCAACGCCATTGCCCGCGACGAGAAGCGGCCGCTGCTCACGTTTGACGAGGTGGTCCAGATTGCGCGCACCTGTGGGCTGCGCACACGTGAGGAGACGAGGGCCTGCCTGCAGTTCCTGCACCTGTACTCCATGGTGCTGTACTACGACAGCGTGCCAGGCATGGAAGACTATGTGATCCTGAGCCCGCAGTGGGCGGTGGACACGATGACGCGCGTCATCCGCACGTTTGGCCTGCACGACGACGATGTGCAGGGGCCGGAGGTGCGGGCACTCGGCGCCGACGTGTGGGACGACCTTGTCGACCGCGGCATCCTGCACCGTCGTCTGCTGGAGGTGTTGTGGAGAGACGTGGACAGCGACTTGGTTGACCCGTTCCTGCGCCTCATGATGCAATATGGGCTGTGCATTCAATACTCTCCACCCAAGCTGGTGGACAGCCGCAGAGCACTCGCCCGCGCCAACTCCGGCCACGGTGACAACGATGGTGTGAGCAAGGGCAATGACGCACACCAACGCCAGCAGCACCAGCAGCAGCAATACCTGGTCCCAGCCATTCTGCCAATGACGATTCGCCACAACAACAGCACGATGGCATCCGTGTCGCTGAGCACGACGGCAGCACAGCAGGCCAACCCATATCTTGGACACGAGGAGAAGACGGCCTACGTCGCCTTCAGCCTGAAGCAATTCAAGCGAAGTGCGAGCGTGCGAGCTGAGCATGCACAGCACGCATCGTTCCTGCCAGAGGGGCTGTTCACAGTTGTGCTGGCGCATGTGATGGCGCATGCACAGCACGGCGCATCACAGGAGCCGCAGCTGAGCCGCACCCACGCCATCTGCTTCATGGAGTCGACCAAGCTGGAGCTGCAGCTTGTGCCGGCTGTTGGCGGCATCAAGATGAAGATCACGAGCGCACAGCCACGCGCCATGCTGCACATGCTGCACACCATGATCAGCGAGGCCGCCAGAGAGCGCTATCCTGAGCTGAAGAGCAGCCTGTTGTTGCCGTACGACGACAAGACGCTGCTGTTCTTTGAGGATGTGCTGCACCACCACAAGAGCAAGCAGGACATGTGGGTGGACGAGCAGCTGCTGTCACCCGATGACCTGGTCGCCAAGTACGGCCCTCTTCTGCCCGTTCTCGGCCTGCAGGACAAGTACGACGTCTTCATCAGCTACAGGTGAGACGGTGTGCGTGTGTGTGTGTGTGTGTGTGCGTGCTTATGCGTGCGTGCGTGTGTGTGTACGTGCGTATGTGTACGTGTGTGTGTGTGTGTGTGTGTGTGTGCAAGTGTGTGTGTATGTGTGTGTGTGCGTGCGTGTGCAAGTGTGTGTGTGTGTGTGTGTGTGTGTGCAAGGATGTCTGTCACTTTCACCCAGTAGCCACGACTAATGCATGCAGTTTACACTTTTCTCAACACTACCTTTTCAACCCCCCCCCCCCCAGGCAACGCGCCAACAGCGGGCTGGTGATGGCGCTGCATCCGCGCTTGGAGCAGCGCAACCTGGTGGCGTTCCTGGACGCCAACAACCTGGAGACGGGCCTCAACTTCAAGTTGTCGTTCATGACGGCGATTGGGCTGAGTCTGGTGGTGTGCCCCATCGCGTCTGCTGCCACCATCATGCAGATGAGGCAGCTGCAGCACAGCGACTACTGCGACAACGTGCTGCTGGAGTGGATGACGATGCTGGCGCTGCACGAGTTCCAGCGGGCGCACGAGGAAGATGAGGAGCAGCAACATGCCAAGATCCGCCTTCGCCGTGTCGTGCCCGTGATTGTTGGCAGCGCGTGGCACAATGTGAACGATAGCAGCAGCATGAGCAGGGCCGAGGTGAGCGAGTACGACTCGTTTGACCGCCTGAAGCGGCTGGCGATGACGTTGCCTGATGTTGTAAGCAAGGAGACAGCCGTAGCGCTGGACCAGTATTTCACGCAGGTGCTACACTTGCCACCGCCACAGCAGCACAAGAGTGTACGTGAGACTGTGTTGTCACTGTTTGACATTGACGCGGTGGTTGCTTTGAATGCTGTTGTGGACCGCACGTCACAGCTGCGCGACATTGCAGAGAAGGTGCGCCAGGTTGCCGTCTCTGCCAGAAGCGACGAACAAACAACGCAGGAAGCAGGCACAGCACGTCGATCCACGCAGGTATGGTATTTTGTGTGTGTGTGTGTATGTGTATGTGTGTGTGTGTGCGCGCGTCCATGCCTGCAGGCGCATCCCTGGCAGCTTGGCGTTCACACTCTGTTTCACCCACCCCTTTCACCCACATATCCAGCAGTCCTCCTTGTCGCTCTCGTCCACCACCGCGACAACTCCTGCTCCACCGCCACCCGCCACCCCATCTTCCTCCTCGTCCTCCTCATTGCCATTTGAGCCAGATCTCGTTCAATGGCTCAACCGCCACTCGCTGCTGCCGCACGTCGAGTCCGCCCTGGTGGAGCACGGCATCGACTGCCTGGAGGTGCTAGTCGTGTCTGTTCATGAGGATTTGCTCACGATGCAAATGTTGAAAGGTGCGGGTGTGAGAGTGGGCCACGCAGTCAAGCTGGTGCGAGAGGCAATGAAGTGTTATGTGGACGCAAGCTCAGCGTATTAGCTCTTGGCCACTTGCCTCGTGGCACGCCCTTTCTTCTCTTTCACCACCGTCCATTTTGTGGCTTCTATTCTCTCCTCCAGTCCTGTCACCGTGGTGCAGTTGTTACATTTCGTCCATCACCCACTGTTCTGTTACACGCACGCCAGTTGTGGTTTCCTTCCTTGACGCTCGCTTGTGTTCCACTGCTCTGTGCTACTGCTGCTGCTGCTGCTGCTGCTGCTGTTGTTGTTGTTGTTCTTGTTCTTGTTGTTGTTTAAGTTG